ATGGGGAGTCTATGGGATTGACTCCCTTTTGCAGCCAGCCTCTAGCGGCCAGTTGACGAATTACAGTTTAAGTCACTTAGTTTTGGCTTCACGAGAGAGAGCGGGAGGTTGCCGCTCGGGCGAGAAGGGTCTGGCTGCAGCTGGCGCTTGCACTCTCAGACTTGCATTCTCAGGCTTGCACTCTCAGACACTTGCACTTCCGCTAGCCACGTCACTTGCAGGCTTTATTATGCAAGCCTGAGAATGCATGTCTGAGAGTGCAAGCGCCAAGCTGCAGCTAGACCCTTCTCCTGAGAGTGCAAGCGCCAGCTGCAGCCAGACCCTTTTGGCTCGGGCTGGACCAGCCGATGCGCATGCAAAGTCATAGTTGGAGCTACGCATGCGCATTGGCTGGTCTAGCCTGAAAAACAAGCTTTTTAAACGCTATTTGAGCATTAGAAATAACATTCATGGGGCAGTTCATTTCAGATTTTGTTGCTGATTTGAAACATGTGATTTAATCGCAAGTTCAGCGAGCCGTTTTTGAGATTTCAGGATTCCCCCATTCATTTAGATAGGACTTGGTCTTGTTTGAGCTGCCGGCGGCCGAGTGAACGGACTTTCCTTGAAAGGGACTTTGCCCTGGACCAGGTTAGCTGTGCAGTGTAAGTTACTATGGCAACGAACGCAGCTAAAGCCAAGCCACTTTCATGGTACTTATAAAACCCAAAATTGGTGCAAACTAAACTGAAATTTACCTGGCTAGCCAGCTAATCCGGCTTCATTGTACAGACCCCAGATCCTTAAAGTGGTAGTTCACTAAAAAAAAAAAAAAAAAAAACCCTGGTTACCTGACTTTCTTCTGAAGAACACCACAAGCAAAAATATTTCATTTAACTTTTAAATAGAAACTGTTGAATCTCCAAATGCAAAAAATTCTTAAGATGATCAAGAACACCGTTATCACCATTTAAAGGAGTATTTGTCTTTTCAGTGACACGCTCAGTTATTGAGCCATCATTCACATGAAACAAATATGGTGATGTAGGCTAATCAAATCACAGCATTATTGTTATTATTTGCCTTTCATACATTTGGACATAATGAGCAATAGAGAAAGATATTGATCTGCAAAATAATGCAGTTAAACATGCAACACAGTTGCCACTACAGCAATTCCTCACAGAATTGAACTTGCTATAATAAGCCACACACCTGCGTTTACTATCAGCTATTTCTGACTGCATGGGATTGCAGGTGACGTCACTCTTTAAAGCTGACATCACACAGTGGGTAGAGGAGCTGTGGGTTTCTATAAAAGCAGTGACACCTATGAGATGCGCGTAAACGTAAGAGGTAAACCGCGAGTCCGTTCATTAGGCTAATTATTGAGTGAATCCAAGCACTTATGAAAAAGCAAAGTGTAGACTTTCAGTTTGTGGAAGCACTTGTCAACCTATCAGAAATGAATGATTCACTGCTGAACGTGGGTTTGAATGTGTCAGAAGCCAACAGCTCGTCTCATGCCTTGAGTCTGGACTATCGCTCTCTCATCACTTCGGCCACTATGTTTGGCGTCGGGGTCCTCGGAAACCTCGTGGCGATCGTGGTGCTTTGCATCTCCAAAAAGGAGCAGAAGGAGACCACCTTCTACACTCTGGTGTGCGGGATGGCCATCACGGACTTGCTGGGCACCTGTTTCACTAGTCCGGTGGTCATCGCCACATACATCGTGGGCAGGTGGCCAGGCGGAGCGCTCCTGTGCCATTTCTTCTCCTTCTCCATGCTGTTCTTCGGATCGGCTGGCATGTCTATTCTGTGCGCAATGTCAGTGGAGAGATATCTGGCCATAAACCACGCGTACTTCTACTCGCAGCATGTGGACCGGGCTATGGCTCGGTTCGCGCTGATGGCGACGTACCTGGCGAATATCGTGCTGTGCATCTTGCCCAGTTTTGGTTTCGGAAAGCACACGAGACACTTTCCCGGAACTTGGTGCTTCTTGGACTGGCGCGCCATGGACTCCGTCGGCGCTTCGTACACGTTTCTGTACGGAGGTTTCATGCTGCTGTTGATCGCCGTTACCGTCATGTGTAATTTTGCCGTGTGTCGTTCACTGGTCGGGATGAGTAAAATGAGTCGCATGGTGAGGGCAGAGGTATCCGGACACACAGGCTCCAGGCGCAGCTTCAGATTAACATCTGCAGCGGAGATCCAGATGTTCTGGCTGTTAATTTTCATGACCATCGTGTTCCTGATATGCTCCATCCCTTTAGTGGTGAGTCATTCTGTCCTATAGTGGACAGTGTTCATATTATTTGTTCTAGTGTAATTTATATTATGTATGGATAAGAGCTATACCAAAGGAGTTTGTTCATCTCATCCTGCCAGTCATAAGGCAAAATGAACAACTGCTTATCTCACAACAGTGGCAATCATTTCGGTATCAAACCACTGCATCAGCTCCACTTTTATATCTAGAAATTAATTACTGACTTCATTAGTTATTATTAGTTCATTAGTTAGAGCTCCAATGGAGTCAATCAAGCCAATCAGACTTGATTATACTCAAGGATTATGAACAGGTGAATTCATGTTGTTTGTCACATTTTGAAAGTGGGTGAATGGCTTGACTCTCTATCTTTTTTTCTGGATCTATTAAGTTATCTAAAAGCAACTAAATCTAAAGAAAATTTGATATTCATGACTAAAAAAATATTCTGATTGTAAATTAAAAAAATATAAAATAATAGTGAACATAAAGTTGTGTGAAGTCATGTGTATTCAAGGTGCAGGGCAAATAGTTGAGTGCTTTTCATTTAATTGTTACATGTATGTTATACATGTACAGTATATGGACTCTGATGTTGTGATCTTTTCTAATTGTAATGGGCTTGAATTTTTTTTTTCAACCTAACAGGTGCGCATCTTTGTCAACCAGCTGTACGATCCGGCTTACATATCATCAGGCAAAAGTCCAGACTATCGCAGTGATCTCCTGGCCATTAGATTCGCCTCCTTCAACCCTATCCTGGATCCATGGGTGTATATTCTGTGCAGGAAAAACCTATTAACCAAGGGTTGCACACGACTCAAACGTAATATTAGACTGAGGAAAGGGGATCATAGTCGTGTTTTGGGTTGGATGGATGGTCAGCACTCACCTCCGTCATTTGCTCAAAGCAATTGCACAAGTTATGCGTCATTGCGCACGGCCATCTGTAGAAATGACGTAGGTAAACAGACCAGCACGAACACTAAATCTTATGTGGACTTAACCCTTCGCCAGGCATGGGACTTTGATACAGCTCTGGCTGAGTTTCATCCCTTCAGCGTCGAGCAAAACGGTGTCATGGGGTTTGATGAAGATGAAGGAGAATCAAGCCCCACACTCCTTGCCAAGACTGCTGTGGCACTACCAAACACTCAAATATTAGAAAATAAGGCTGAAATAGTAACCTACACTTTCAGTACACCTAGTTCATGTGTATCAGAAAAGTGCCTGAGACAGTGACCTAGATGCCAATCTAGATTTATTCTTTAAAGCACTGTGAGAAAAAAAAGACTTGTTCTTTTGTCTGTGTTAGTTTACATTCACTAATAATTCTGTGAATTTGCTTTATTTAGGAATCTGGAATGATCCAACTTTAGGATTAAACCATAAGAGGAGGCACTACGTTTAGTCAGATAACATGGGTGTGTTTTATGTGTGGATATGGATATGTTGCTTCCTTCTACCGTGCTGTGCCATGCTACATGCTGGGTTGTACTTGACTGTGACTTGTAAAACTGTGAATAATTTATTAAAGGTGCAATTTATTTTCATCACATGCAAGAGTACAACTGACCAACAAACACTTGCAATTTTGATACAGCTCTGGCTAACTTTGTGGTCCCTTAATCATTTTTTTATGCAGCATCAAAAAGTTAGGTGTTACAAATTCAAGATGATGAGTCAATAACTCAAAGTTTTGGTGCTTGATAAATATTTATAATAATATCCCAATACTCTGATTCATCTGAATTTGCGACTAACGGTAATGATATTATGAAAGAACCAATCTTCAATAATCTTGTATTTAGTATTATATTAATGTATTGACATTCTTATGATGCTTATTTCAAAGCCATTAATCATAATCATTTTGTAAAAGTCCAGATGAACCTGAATATATTCCATTTGAGCAATAGCTGGTAAAAAGGTGAAAAGTGTAATCAGGCCCTTTGTTGTGCTTCTCCAAGTCCACAGTGTTTTTCACATAAAACCAAGGGAAAGCTATTTGTTGACATCATAAGCACTAGTTCTGGTTGTTTTGAGCCAATCACATGATCTGTAAATTGCATATAACTAATTGCACTGGAAAATTATGCCATATTATGTCATGGCTACTGACTGATGGCACCACAAGAATGAGCACGGTTCAAATCTCTTCACTAGCAACTATCCTATGTCATGAAATGCAGCAGACTGGGAAAGTATGTCCACTTCACAACTGAAGGCAAGATAAAACATCTACAATAACAATCAAATACTTATTAAATGTTACCACAAAAAAAAAAGAAAAAAGGATGTGACAATACATATTATGGAAATACCAGACTTTCACAGATTGAATAGGTGAGTAGCAATGGGGAAAAAAAACCCAACAACTTTAAATTGTACGTAGGCATTAAAAAAGTAACAAGAGAGACTTGTTTAATCACACTGAATGATTTTCTCAATGCAAAGTGAAATAAACTGCAGACATACAAAGGTTTGGTTTAAGAGGGAAAATAAAACGCAATGGCACTGGACAAGAACAGCTATCTAGTCCATACAACCACAATTAAAATACAGCACAGTAGATCACAATAAAACATGGCCCTTAAAGGGATCCTTCACACCCTCATAGCATCCATAGCATAGCATACATCCCACATGTATATGACTTTCTTTCATCAGATGAACTTTTTAGAAAAAACTCCTCTGCATATAATGCAACAGTATGGAACGCTTCGAAAATATGAAAGTGAACACGATAGAAGCCCATATAACTGCAGTTGATGAATCAATGTCATGCTCACTTTATGTGGTTTTTGAAGAGCTCTCATACATTTGCATTATATGGACTAACATTTTTTCTTTGTGTTCATATAAAGAAAGAAATCATACATCTGGCACGGCATGAGGGTGAATAAATGAAGATTTTTGGGGTGGACTATCCCTTTAAATAGCAAGGTGTGATGCAGAGGCCAGAAACATATTTCAGACAGATTACAGCGTGTTGAATTAATATTGAATTTCAAAGCAAGTTTTTGTGTTTGTTCAATGTGCTGTCTGCATTGATAAATCTTTTAAAGGGGTGGTTGATTGCGATTTCACTTTTTTAACGTTAGTTTGTGTGTAATGTTGCTGTTTGAGCATAAACAATATCTGCAAAGTTACAAAGCTGAAAGTTCAATGCAAACGGAGATATCATCTCCTTTTATATCAGTTTAATGCCTACAAAAACGGCTGGTAGGGACTACAAGTTACTTCCCGGGTTCATGACGTAACAAACCCAGATAAACTCTGCCCTCGGGAAAAGTCAGCAAAGGGGCCGAGGCCATGCTGCGCTGCTTTAGAGAAGAGGAAGAGAAAACTAGAGGTGCACGTAAAAATCTATTCATATATGAATCGCGATTCTGTCTTCTAACGATTCTAATGGATTCACAAGTTTCAAAATCAATGTTCTAAAGCAGCGGTTCTGGCTGGTAGGGACTACAACAAATTACTTCTCGGGTTCGTGACGTAACAAACCCAGATAAATCCCGCCCTCGGGAAAAGGCAGCAAAGGGGGAGAGGCCATGCTGCGCTGCTTTAGAGAAGAGAAAGAGAAAACTAGAGGTGCACGTAAAAATCTATTCATATATGAATTGCAATTCTGTCTTCTAACGATTCTAATGGATTCACAAGTTTCAAAATCAATGTTCTAAACAGCGGTTCTTAATACTGTTCCTACAGTCCCCCTGCTCTGCACACGCTCTGCATCTATCTCTCTCTCTCTCTCTCTCTCTCTCTCTCATTCAGCTCAGCTCCAACAATGAACTGTTCCAATTATACACTTATTTTCACATAGCTGTGAGAAGTGTTAAACATGGATGCGTGTGCAGTTGCCGTACTGTATTAAAGCTTTAATCAGGATAAAACCGTATATTAAAAGCTAACATAAGCAGTAGCATTTACCAGTGGCGGCTTGTTGGTTTTACATTTACATTTACATTTAGTCATTTTGCAGACGCTTTTATCCAAAGCGACTTACAATTGGGGGATACATAAAGCGATTCTTCTTAAAGAGGCAAACAGATACAGGAAGTGCCTGCAATACCAAGTTTCTAGACATTATTCAAATAAGTACAAGCTAGAAAGAGAAGGAATAAATAAAGAGAGTTTTTTTATGATGAAGTCAAGTAGCTTCGAAAGAGCTGTCAGCTGTCACTTGAAAATTGTCAGGGATTCAGCATTCCGGATAGGGGTGGGAAGATCGTTCCACCAGCCAGGAATGGTGAACGAGAATGTTCTGGATAGTGATTTTGAGCCTCTCTGTGATGGTACCACGAGGCGTCGCTCACTAGCGGATCTCAGACTTCTGAAGGGGATGTAGATTCGTAGTAGTGAGTGGAAGTAGGCGGGTGCTGAGCCTGTGGCTGTTACCGGTATTCAGTGCAAGGAGATAAAGAGAGGTGTAACATGGGCTCTTTTGGTCTCGTTGAAGACCAGTCGTACCGCTGCATTCTGAATCATTTGTAGCGTTTTCAAATAGAGGAGGCACACTAATTGAAATGGTCTGGGATCCCTGCCGATTATTATTATTATTATTATTTGCTTAACCACTTTAAAATGGCTTTTTGGTTGCTTTTAGTCAGAAAACATAAAGAAAACAACACACAGCAAGATAATATAACTTCACTTACCTGGCCTATCACTTGAAGCAATTATTATATTATTTGCTTAACCACTTTAAAATGGCCTTTTGGTTGCTTTTAGTCAGAAAACGTAAAGAAAAGGACATGCATACAGCAAGATAATATAATTTCACTTACCTGGCCTATCACTTGAAGCAAACATCCATCCCTTCTTAAAAGTCTGTGTTAAAAGAGAGCTGCCTGTTGTGACATTTAATTAAGCCGCGGCGACTGCTGTAGCCTATATCCAGTTTTCCCTTTTTTTTTTTTTAATTTGTATATATACTGTTTGAATGACAGCCTGGTAAATCTGTTGGCGATCAAATATTCAATATTGCTAGCATTTACAAAAGTCGATATTATGGCTATTATGTTTTCCTTCTTTGATAATTAACTAATATTTTATTCAATAGTACAATAAAAGATTGTTTTAATTAA